CCTGTTCCTCACTCTCTTGGCCCGAAGGTCCAGGCCTTGATACCTATTGATGTCCCATGGTTGCAGATTAGTGAGTTCCATGCAGCTATCTTGAGGTTAAAGTTGAACCCTCTGGTTGGAAAGACCGAAGACGCACGCATTAAACTGTGTTGAAAGACAACCCCGTGGAACGTTTGCTCAAGATATAGTGTATCCTTTTTGTTGTTGCTTATAGGTGCTTTCGGAAATATTGAGCTCGCAAGAAAGAAATGGATTTGTTACTTATGCCTTTCTTTGATGCACTGAATCAATACAGACTCTTAACCGTGGCCTTGAGAGTATCAGTAATTCCAGTGTAACCTAAGGGGGGAGAGACTCCATACAAGGGTAGGATACTGTTTCAGAAACATGAGCAGAGAGTGTTCTGGCATTTCATCTTCTAGGGCAAAACTCCCTGGCTGTTCTCCTGCTCCAGCACTACCAAGAAATAGGGTTGCCATCCTCCAGGTGATGGCTGGAAATTCCCTGGGATTACAACTGATCTCTAGGCGGCAGAGGTCAGTTCGCCTGGAGGAAATGGCCACTTTGGAAGGTGGACTCTATGACATTATACCCCATTGAAGTCCGTCCCCTCCTCGGGCTCCACACCCAAAATCTCTAGGTATTTCTCTACCTGGAGCTGGCAACCTTAAATTAATGGGAGTTGTAAAAGAACTGTACAGATTTCTGGAAGCAAATCTCCCAGAAAAGAGCGCTTTTCAGAGCAAACTGAGACATATTAGGAGCAAGCAGTAGCATGCTGCTAACAAGAGCATAAGAAGTATGGTTGCCAACTTCCAGGGGGGGGGTGGCCTAGAATTCTCCCCGTAGAGCTGATTTCCCCTGGATCAGTTCCCCTGGAAGAAATGGCAGCTTCATAGGGTGGACTCTGCTATCACATCCCCGCAGAGCTACTCCTCAAACTCTGCTTTCTCCAGGCACTGCCCCCCAAATCTCCAGGAATTTCCCAAACCAATTGGCAATTCTGATAAGAAGATGTCTGCTGGATCAGACCAGTAGTCTATCTAGTCCTGCATTCTGTTTCGGACAGTGGCTCTGGAAGGCTCAACGCTTGGGTACAGAATCCAAAACCTCTTGCACACCCCACACTGAAATCACAGTATATTTAGGATTGGGGGGCAAGCATCCTCTTACCCCCTCCCACAGACACCCATGCACACCTCAAATATTTAGTTGACCAGAAGTCTCTTCAGGAAACACAGAAGTGTGTTTTAATTCTACCACACTGTAGATTTGGTTAGTATTATACTGACATTTAATTTATACCAAGAATGAATTCTTTAATAAATAAATAGATAATCATTGCACACACACACAACATACGAAGATTTTAGGAGCTTAGCCATTCAAAAGAACACAGGTAAATAATCGGATTAGAACATGTCTTATTCCAGGGTCTGTCCCTCTCTAGGAGTCAGGACTAAGGCCGTTGATCTTGACGATACTGGCCTTCTTTCAGCTCATAAACTAATTTATACAACTAATTTATACATACTATTCCCCCCCCAAAAAAGAAAACCATGAATCTACACCATATGGAGTCAGACTGGGGGCGATTTGCTGGTCTATCAAGGTCAATACTGTCTACTCTGACTGGCAGTGGCTTTCCAGGGTCTCAGGCAAAGGCCTTTAACATCATTTACATAATATAACATAACAACAGAGCCAGTTTGGTGTAGTGGTTAAGTGCCTGGACTCTAATCTGGAAGAACGGGGTTTGATTCCCCACTCCTCCACTTGCACCTGGCTGGATGGCCTTGGGCAAGCCCTAGCTCTGATAAGAGCTGTTCTTGACAAAGAGCAGTTTCTGTCAAGAGCTCTCTGAGCCCCACCTACCTCATAGGGTGTCTGTTGTGGGGAGGGGAAGGGAAAGGAGTTTGTAAGCCGCTCTGAGATACCTTTGGGTAGTGAAAGGGGGGTATAAATCCAATCTTCTCTCCTCCTCCTCCATCTACTACCTGACTTTTTAAACTGGAGATGGTAGTCATTAAATCTGAGACCTTCTGGATGCAAAGCTGATACTGTGCTCCTGTGCCGTGGCCCCTCAGGGCCCTGGCAAAAATCATTGTTAATACTTGGACAAAGAAAAATGCTTCTGATTTATTCCTTTGACAATAGGTCCTGAGTTCAAGACACCAGAAATAACCTTAGCCTCCTCACCCAGCAGCAGATAGCTAGATAGTTCTGTTTGACCATCAAAAATTCTTTCTGTAATTAATCATGAAGTATTAGTCTACGAAATTAAAATTTACTAGTAGCGAACTCTACAGTGTGCTTGGCTTCTTTTTGCTGAGGCTGTAAATTCCTTTGTGATACGGAAGAACATTTGATACCACAAAGAAGTTGTTGGTAAAACTTTATGCAGGTTGAATTGAACCTATAAACCATTATGTCTTATGGTTTAACACTGCCTAAGTAAACTGGCTAGCCAACTTTTATGTATGATGTTTTCTTCCTCCAATAATCTCAGGGTCCTTGATCATTTTTTTCTGGTTACACAGATCTCCTCAGCGTTCAATATACAATACTTTAGAGTTAAGTTTGAGTCCAGTGGCATCTTTAAGACCAACGAAGTTTAATTCTGGATATAAGTGAGAATTTAGCTTAGCATGTGTAGTGAGATAAGAACCTGATATCTCTGTTAAGCCGTGAGGGTTCCATTGTTCCGAGTGTTGACAGAGATGCAAGAGAATATATAGCATTAACCAAACAAGGCAGAGGAGAATCAGGTAAAGAGACAGCTAAGCCTATATTTTGATCAATATCCAGAACTCAAATTCCACATTCCTTCAACAATTACTTCCTGGTGATTGTGCAATAGGACTGTTCCCATGGAGGGTGGCAGTTCCAGTTTTAATGTTGTTTCTCATTAACCTACCCCAGTTACAACATTTTATGATATGTCACTCCTCAAAAGGGGATAATGAATGTAGAAGGAACTAAAGTCTGATTACAAAAATAAATTGCCCTTGTTCAAGGAGAGGTTCTTCCAGGGGGGAAAAGTGTGTGTGTGTGCGCACGTGTGTGTGTGAGATACCATCACAACTTTTTTAAAAATAAATTGCCCTTGTTCAAGGAGAGGCTCTTCCAGGGGGGAAAAGTGTGTGTGCGCAGGTGTGTGTGTGAGATACCACCACAACTTTTTAAACATGCTTGGTGCTTTTGCATGATGGACCAATCTCTCTGTTTTTAGCCTGGCAGGGAGATTAAAAACTGCTTGCAGGCTGTGAAAATTCAGATATGTAGGTGGGAGATGCAGCATTTGCTCTCCAAAGAGTGCCCACCTTAAGACGTCAGAGTAGCCAGTTCCACAAAGCCAATTCCTGCCGCCTTCTTATGGGTCTAACCTCCTTATAGACTGCAGCTTTAACTATTTTGTGATGCCAAACCACTTTTTTTTGTGATGTGAGCTTTGCACATGAGATAATCATGTTGATCTTGTAACACTGTTTCAGGCTTCTTTTAAGCTATCATTGTTTGTTTGTTTGTTTTTGGTGGACTATGTTTTTACGCTGAGCCAGGTTTTAGTGCTGTACTTAAAATTAATCTCTTTTGATGTTTTGCTTTTATTATTTTATTTCATAGCTGTCTTAAGCACAGATATATTTTAAAGTCACTCCATTCTTAGCATTAGTTTCTAAATAAAGGAATAAATGGTGCCGGTAGAAAGTCATATATAGCTGCATCATGTGATCAAAAAAGTGATGTGATTGTTCATCTGCCAGTAGACAGTCACACTCACAGGTAGATTGTGTGTGTTTGTGTGTGTGTGTAGTCATGTAGTGATTTGATTCCCAGATGTCAGGTGGCTGCTTTGTTAGTTGTCACCAACTGTAGCGTTTTTAGAGGCAGTAGAACTATGAGGAGGTCATTTCGTGGCCAGGTTAGCAACCCAATAATTGGATACTGAACAAGACCAAATATCTCTTTGTGCAACCTCATCACTTTACTGGTGATGACAGATTTTGAACCAACACCAGCATCTTTCACTCTATTGTATGGGATTTTAAAATTGTGCCCTTTGGAGAGAATCTTTGTTCCCCCAAGGTCCTTCTCAAAAGTAAGGCCTATTTTTTGAGTCAGCTTGGTGTAGTGGTTAGGAGTGCGGACTCTAATCTGGGAGAACCGGATTTGATTCCCCACTCCGCCACTTGCAGTTGCTGGTGTGACCTTGGGTCAATCACAAGTTCTCTCAGCTGTTCTCTCAAGGGCAGTTCTCGAGAGAGCTCTCTCAGCCCCACCTACCTCACAGGGCAGTGTTCCCTCTAAGCTGAGTTACTGTAAACTAGCTCACAGTTTTTTAGCCTCCAGCTCACACATTTTTGTTGTAGCTCAGGAAGGATGGCTCCAGAGCAAACTAATTTATGCAGTAGCTGAATCACTCACTCACAACTTTAATGCCAGTAGCTTGCAAAGTAGAATTTTTGCTCAGAAGATTCCACAGCTTAGAGGGAGCATTGCTCGCAGGGTGTCTGTTGTGGGGAGGGGAAGGGAGAATGTAAGCTGCTCTGAGACTCCTTCGGGTAGTGAAGGGTAGGGTATAAATCCAATCTCTTCTTCTTACACTGTAAGGGTGTTCCTGAACAAGATTTCCTTCAAAGCTGCGGTGTGGCGATCACGTGCACAGAATCATTACAAACTAAGCCTTATCTGTGTCTCAATGACCCTAATGGTTAATAAGGTGGGGTATAAATATCTAAATGAACAAATGTAATAAAACAATTCTTGCTGTGATCCTTATAGAGGATCAAAGGAATTGTAATCGATGCAGCAAGGAATTGCACAAAACTCCATGGGATTCAATCAGCATTTCTGACCGTGCAAACCGGCTAGGAATGGGAATTGCTTCTGCCACTTTAAGAGCCTGACACTGTCCCACAAGTGAGCTATTATAAAGGCAGGTAAGCTGCCATGCTTGGATTAAAGAGCTGGCAGCTAAGGAGAAAGAAGCAGGCTGCATCATGACCGGTCATAAGTGCTGGGGATACGGGCAGAAGGACGGTAGGTTATCCGCACTTCCCCCACCTCCATCTCCTCCCTTTCTCTTCCTTTCTGTTTAATATGTTTAGGAACTCCCTGCAGATGCCGACAGCTTGCCATGCAAGTCTGACTGGCGGGTAACTGGTTAAATAATATAAGCAAGTCTCAGATTATTATTACTATTATTTTCCTGCAGGCTCCACCAAAGCACAACCCAGGATACTTTTGCCCTTTCATCCGAAACACAAGAAGCGGTGTGTTTTCTCGGTGACCTGGGTGACCTTTGTCCCTTCGAAAGGCCTTTCCCAATAATAAAACCATATACTTTTCTCTTAGTGCACTCCTACAAATGCTGAAGCAAGACAGACTTTTTATGAGACTTGAACCAGGAGGGAAGAGTCACGCTCCAGAACTGAACCTGAGGGGGCAGCAATGCATACAAGTAAAATAAAAGGAATACAATTAAAAGGGACACGAAATAATTGTTGGAGAGGGATGGAGAACCGTGTTGTGTTCGCCCGTTATTTTTATATGAGCATTCCTGCAACCGAGCAGTGCAATGGGAGGATGTTCCAAAGTACAAAAAAGTTATTAAAACATTTCTAACATTCTCAAAATGCTGCAGATGTGTCACTTTTCACCGGTGATCTGACAAGCACTATACACTAGATGCACATCACACTTTGCGGTAGCAAGCTACACCGCTTTTGGTGCCAATGACTAATGGGGAAGAGCAGAAAATGGATAACATTTTTCTCATCAGTAACAAAACACAGAGCACTGGGTAAATGCATCAGGGAAGGAGCATAGCTGATTTTGCAGCGCCTAATTTTGCGTACATGGAATCTCTCTATCTCTTTCAGAGAGCCTGTACACGTCTCGAGACTCCCATAGAGCCTCTGCCAGTCCCGATATGGGCTACTGTTTCGACACAATTTAAGGGAGGAAATATACCACCTAAAAGTAAAAATTTCATCATCTCTAATAAGTAACACATGCATTATTATCCTGTCTGAAGAGCCCCCAGTTTTGTAGCTAATCCAAATCTGAACTTGCACAGAAATGGCACCATGTTGCCCATCTTCTTCCACATGACCTGGAGCTTCTGATGTGACCTGAGTGGTGCGGGGATACCCACTACAACAGTGTCCACACTGCTGTGATGACGGCAGATAAGTTCCCTCCCCCAAGCGTCTTGTCTTGTACAGAGGTTAGCGGTCCCCAGAAATTGTTCTTTAGTAGTCTGGTGTAGTCATTGATTATTCTAGACAAGTTCTTTTGGGACTCTGACAAAAGGATATACTGCTTTACACAGCGAGTGATTAAAATGTGGAATTCACTGCCGGAAGATGTAGTGATGGCCGCAGGTGTAGACAGCCTTAAATGGGGATTAGACAGATCCATGGAGGATAGGTCTATCAGTGTCTACCTCTGAATCCCAGTGACAGGAAGGAACACCAGGGAACACCTCTGCCTCCATGCCCTGTTGTTGGACCTCCAGAGGAACTGGTTGGCCACTGTGTAAGACAGGATGCTGGACTAGATGGACCACTGGTCTGATCCAGCAGAGCTCTTCTTGTGTTCTTATGACTGTCCCCCTAACAGTGAGGCAATCGTCAAAAGACTTATGGGAACAAAAAAAAAAAGAGAAGAACATCTGTGGTTCTGAAGGTGTGAGTGAAGTAACGGTGACTTTCTTTGTTTCCCAGGACCCTCTGAGTGGCACACGTTCTATCCCATCGCCCAAGGAAACCGTCAATCCCCAATTGACATAGACTCGAAGCAAGCTGTTTTCGACCCCTGTTTGAAGCCCCTCCGGGTTTCGTATGAATCGTGCACCTCCCTTGAGCTCTCCAACAATGGGCATTCGGTCATGGTGGACTTCAAGGACGTTGACGACAAGGCAGGTAAGTGTCGCCAGTCACTATCACCCTCCCAGAATGACACTCTTCTTTTGTGCCTTGGTGGCTTTTGTGCTGATCAAACAGGCATAAACTGAGGGCATTTTCAAAGCCACCAGGCAGCAAATGCTGCGTAGGTCACATACAGAATCCAACTCAGTGGGAAGCGGGGGGGAGGGACGGGACGGGACAGGACGGGAGAAAAATATAGGCATTTCCAGAGGTCATTTCGGGGGGGATCGCAGTTCCCCCGGGTGAGGTATGGGGGGCGGGGCACATGACGAAGCCCCGCCTCCTGCTTCCGGCCGCCCCGCTTCCGGCCCTCATTCAGCCAGGAGGAGGCAGGAGAAGAGGGAGGGTAAGTTGCTTCCTCCCTGCCTCTCCCCACCCCTGCCTGCCTGGGGCCAGGAAGGGCCTTCGCGGAGCTTCCTTGCACTCCTGCCGGCCTTGCAGGTCCACCGCCGGGCCCCTCATGGGGCTCGGCAGTGGAGCTGCAAGGCCGCCGGCGGCCGGGACCGTTGGGGGCGGGGTGTGTGGCCTTATGACACACTTCCGGTGATGCCAGGGGGTGTGGCCTTATGACACACTTCCGGTGATGTCAGGGGGTGTGGCATATGCTAATGAGTTATGATAATGAGTCCCCCTAGCTCTTTTTCTACGAAATGACCCCTGGGCATTTCCCATCATTTATCTCAAGAGAACATGGGGTTCTCTCTGTCGCTGGCTTATAAGAGAGTATTATCTGCACCATGAGGTTGTCTGACTTTCGAGGTTTAACTGTCATGGCTTTCCTCTCATGTATCCTGGGAACTGTGGTCGGGCTAGGGTGATGAAGATGCCATGTTAGAGAACCTTTATAAAGTTGCCAACTCCAGCTCTGGCAATTCCTGTAGATTTGGGTGCAGTGCATAGGGAGGGCAGGTTGGAATCCCTCACTGGGCCATGAAAGCCTCCCAGGAGGCCTTGGGCCTGTTGCAGTCTCTCAGCCTAATTTATGCTCACCAGGTGGTCGTTGTGAGGGATTAAGTGGAGGAGGAGGGAATGAGGTGAAAAGCCACTGTGAGCCAACCCCCAACCCCCAAAATCAGGGAGAAAAATGGAATATAAACAAAAAGTAAACAATCAGCTAAAGAGAAATAAATCACATTTCAACCAGTTTAAATCCAGAGTCTGGAAACGCCCTCAGTGTTTATCTTTGCTACTAGGTAATTCAAAAGTTGCTACCAGCACAGGGATGAGAGTGTCCTCCTCTTCTATTTCTTCCTCTTCATTTAATTCATAAATTCATTCTGACACTTTTACCCAATTTTTCTCCCCCCAACAAGGACCCAAAGGGACTTACAAAATACTGCAACAGAATAGATAAACAACCTTAACAACCAGAGCACAATTTAAATAAACAGAGGAAATAATACAGTGAATGGCACTGCTTGGAGACACCCTGGTGGGTGGCTCTTTTGCTCAGCTCAGATGTTCCTTCCTCCTGTTCCTTAGGTTTTACTCAGGCACTGTACCTTCTCATATGCCCCCCCCCAGGGTAGGGTTGCCAACTTTGGTTTGGGAAATACCTGGAGGTTTGGGGGGTGGGGTTTGGGGAGGGAGAGTTTGGGAAGAGGCAGAACTTCAGTGGGGTACAGTGCCATAGAGTCCACCCTCCAGCGCAGCCATTTTCTCCACAGGAAATGATCTTTGTTGTCTGGAGACTAGATCTAATTCTGGGAGATCTCCAGGTCCTACCTGGAGATTGGCAACTATACCGAGATCCAGTTAGATGCCAATTCAGATCTCTCTTCTTCTTTCACTGGATGATCAGCAGCTCAGCTACACATCTCTTCAGACCCTCCTTCTCCCAACGGTTCCCACCAGCAGGGGCCCAGGCTGAAAGCTACACCCTTTGGCTCTTGCCCTTCAGTGCCTCTGGGCCCGTTCAAGCTTAAGAAAGCTTTTAAAATGACATTGTCTACTCAATGACATTTTATTTATTTATTATCCTGACTTTCTCCCAAAGCAACTTACATGATTCTCCTGTCTGTCATTTATCCTCACAACAACCCAGTAATGTACATTAGGCTGAGAGACAGAGAGTGATCAGCCCCAGGTCACCCAACAAACCTCCGTGGCAGAATGGGGATTTGAACCTGGGTCTCCCAGATCCTAGTCCAACACATCATCCAGCATTGTGACACAAAATATAAACAAATCATGTCGCCTGCTTGTTTAATGTGTACAAGGTATTGCTCCGTCTCTTCTACCGACATGCCAAGGTCTCCCGACAGAGTTGAAGCAGTGCCAGAATTAGAAAGAGGAAGACCTCTGAGAGAGTAGGAGGCACAAGAGAGAAGATTTGGGAAGCTTTGCCCATACCATACTGCTGACTCATTCAGTGGAAGGGGGAGATGCCTACCTTCCCTTGGTCCGTGCCCAAGCACTGGTATCATGCGGCTACAGGTTCCCCCTGGACAGAGCGTAATGCAGAAAGATGCCTTCAGTGCTATGGTTACAGTCTCCAGTGACAGTCTGAGAAATGTTGGTGAGGCCATTCCTGGTATCACTAGAGCATTATCAGGTGCGGTGTTAAGTTGCAGCCATTCAATCACTTAAGAGCAACCTAACTTGCAAAGACCTGTGAGCAGGAATGGTTCACATGGAGGCAAACAGAATGAAGCCCTCCTCTCTAATGTTTATCAAAAGTGCTGCTGGACAGAACTGGCTCAAAGGTTTTATTGATTTATTTATTTGCCGTTCTATGGCCCCGGTCACACGGGCAGGAAACTGCAGAGGAGAAGCGTGGCTGTTTGCCCTGGGGCAAACTACTGCGCAGTTACGTGATCAGACCTCCTGTGGAGGTCCTGTGGAGGTACCGTGGAGGTTCCATGGCAAGGGAGAGGTGCCGATCACAGGACAAGCCGGCGCACAACGAAGAAGCGCGCGCCGCGGCAAACTGTTTTTTATTTTTGTATACATGACAAATGCGCATGCTCCGTTGGGTGCGCATGCGCATCCACAGAGACTTGGACAAAAAAAAAACACCTTATTTGCAAGGGGACATGGGCGGGTGCCGGATGCCACCGGAAACGCGATCAGACGCCCGCCCTTGCCCCGCAGTTTCCGGAAACTAGTACCTCCAAGGTACTAGTTTTTTGCCACGCAGTTTTGGCTGGAAGCCTCGGTTGAGCCCCGGGAGTGCTACGCTTCCCAGATGTGCTGGTGAGATCGCGCCCGGAAACTCTGGCTGTTTTCCGTCTCACTTGTGTGGCTTCTGTTACGTGTGACCGCAGCCTTAATATAGCAAGGATGACGGCATCTTCCTGTGAACTGAGAGTGCACATTAGAACCTCTTTTGAGAATCAGTTCTGCAACATCAGGATTCTGAGGCATGCCGTCTATATAGCAAGGCCGCCTTGCCAGAAACTGTAGGATAGGTGGAGTTGCCAACCCCCAGATGGGGCCTTGATCATCTGGAACTGCAGCTAAACTTCAGACTACTGAGATCAATTCCCCTGGAGAAAACATCTGCTTTCAGTGGTGGACTCTGTGGTATTATACCCTGCTGAGGTTGCTTCCCAGGCTTCACCCCCCCCAAATCTCCAGGAATTTCCCAAGCCAGAGTTGGCAACCCTAGGGATTACCTTGATTCATGTCCTGCTTTGTAGGTGCCCCATGATTTGCCTTTGACGTGTGCCAAGGCAGTCTGCATGAGAGAGCTGGCTATGCTGAATACGAATAGAAGCTTTAGTGTCAATTATGCTGCATCAGTGTCCCTGACATACACAGTTTTCACAAGGACTGCACTCTTTGTTTTGTTGGGGTATTTGCAAGTTCACTGTCTAATGTCATGAAAGGTTAACCTGTTTGTTTGTTTGTGTATGCTGATTTGTAGTTAGTTAGCTTAAAAGGTTTCCCTTGCTCGAAAGCCAGTCGAGTCCGTCTCTAGGGTTGCGGTGCTCATCTCCGTTTCAAAGCCGAAGAGCCAATGCTGTCCAAAGACGTTTCCGTGGTCATGTGGACGGCATGACTAAACACCGAGGCACACAGAACGCTGTTACCTTCCCACCGAAGTGGTATGAAATGACGAGTAGAAGTTCCTGCACTAGAAGGGGACGCCCTTTGCATAATGGCCTGGTCAATGGTTAATTTGTAGTTGGGTGCTGTGACCTGATATTCTGCTCACAGGCATTTTGGGGTTTCTTCTTCCCCCCTTTGTTTAGAGACTAGTGTGCTAGAATCCGTCTTGTAGCTATATAGTTAAATTGTTTATTGTTTCATGCTTATCATGTAACCCTTCCTAATTTCATTAGTAAACTTTCTTTTAGCTAATTTATACATATGTGCTGTGTGGTTCCCTTTCACTCAGCTACAATATCCAACGTAAGGTTATGGGCCCAGCATACTTCTGCTGTGTGTTTTATTTGTGAAAATAGGGTTCAGCTACAAATTATGATGAGTGAGACCCAGGGATGAGGTGAGGAAAATATAGCATGGGGTGGCCAAGCTGCGACTCAGGAGCCAAATGCTGCTCTTTCACACATATTGTGTGGCTCCTGGCAGGGCAGCTGGGGAAGCAAAGGGGAGGCATACCTCTCCAATTGGTCTCCCCTGTCCCAGCCAGTGTTCCCCTCCCTGGGTAGGCTTGAGGTGGGGGGAGCAGAGAAAGAAAGCAACTTTAACTTTAAATGATGGGGGTGTGTGGAGAACACATCTGAAGTTAAAGGTGCTTTTTCCCACTCCTCCTTCCCCCAATTTATTTGCTTTCTTTCCACCTCTCTTTTATCCTTTTCCTCCCTCCCTCCCCATGTATTTGCTTTCTTTCCATCTCTCTTTCTTTCCATCTTTCTTTCTCTCTCTCTCACTCTTTCTCCTTTACTTCCTTCCTCTCTCTCTCTCTCTTCCTTCCTTCCTCCCTCTCCCTCATCTATTTGCTATCTTTGTTTTTCCTCTCTCTTTCTTTCTATCTCTTTCATGCTTTCTTTCCACCTCTCTCTTTCTTAAACAAATAAATATCATTAGCAAACAAATTTCATTGGACAAATACATATCATTATCAATATCTATTTTACCCCTTTTGTTTTAATTTTGGCAGTCTCATTTAGTGTTAATAAAAAGCAAATTTGCATATTTTTCAATAAAAACATATTGTAATATTTGTTCATCTTGCGGCTCTCAAACATCTGATGTTTATTCTGTGTGACTCTTACATTAAGCAAGTTTGGCCACCCCTGATATAGCATGTTACTGAGCTGTGTGATTAGTGGGGATTTGAACCCGGGTATCCTGCAGTCCTAGCCCAACACTGTAACCAACATAGCTCCCTTTTAAAAAAAAATCACTATACCACACTAACCCCTTGCTTTACTTCCTGCTTACAGTGGTAAGTGGAGGCCCACTGGAAGATCCTTACAGACTAAAACAGTTCCATTTTCACTGGGGGAAAAGCCGGGGCTGTGGATCAGAGCACACCATTGACGGCAAATCTTTTCCTTGTGAGGTGAGTCACAACCCTACGACCTTTTAAGAGTGTTTATAAATAAAACCTGTGCACTGTGGTTGCAATTGCAAAGGTATTCATAGGATGCAGAAGTGTCTGGGTGCTGGTGGGGGATAGGGGGGGTAGGGTTGCCAGATCCAGGCTGGGAAACTCCTGGAGATTTGGGGATGGAGCCTGGGGAGGACAGGGACCTCAGTGGGGTACGATACCACTGAGTCCACCCTCCAAAGCATCCATTTTCTCCAGGGGGACTGATCTCTGTAGTCTGGAGATGAGCTGTAATTCCAGGGGATCCCCAGATCCCACCTGGAGGCTGGCATCACTGTGGTGGTCTCTCTTTGAAAATACCATTTACAGCATAAGAGATGGCTTACTTTTCTCTTGAGCTGCAGAAATGTGATGCACAGCATGGATTTGTTTGTTTATATTTACGTAGCAGTGGTTGAACACTGTACAAAAGTAAAATCACCAAAATAGGCCCTGACTGCAATGCTTACAATGGTATGAAGATATAAAAGTACCAATATGGATGTTAAATATCTCCCATAACAGTGTGGCTGCATTCTGGAAAAAGAGCACTGGATGAAGCAGCTCTGCAGGGAGGTATTTATGACGCTGTTCTAATGGGGATGTGTTCACAGTATTGTCACTTCTTACATATGAATGCTATACTAGGGCTTTTTGGGGGGTATCAGTAACAGCACTAACATAAAAGAATTCATTGTTAATGATAAAGATGTTTCCCCCCAATATATGATATTAAGTGCTCAGTAGCCCAGGGGTCCCCAACCTTTCTGAGCCTGCAAGAACCTTTGGAATTCTGATACAGAATGGTGGGCACAGCCACAAAATGGCTGCTGTGGGAGGTAGAGTCAATCAAAAAATGTCTGCCACAGGATATGGAGCCAAAACACAATAATGTCAGGGAGCAATGTTATTTATAACTATAATAGTAACTCTTTGGCGTTCCAGGCAGAAGTTCTGTTAACAGGATGCCTTTTAATCTGCCCAGCCAGTCAGATGCCCTGCTGGGCAAATACCCACCTAGCCCCTCCCACTTTCTAAAAGCACTTGGCAGGTGCCAGGAAAGGTATCAGCAGGCAGTTGTAGCCGAACTCTATTTTCACAAATAAAACACGCAGCAGAAGCGTGCTGGGCCCATAACCTTATGTTGGATATTTTAGCTGAGTGAAAGGCACATTAGGTGAGAGCCTGCTGCAAAGCTGAGCATTGTTGTTATTGCTCCTTTATGACAGTGGTGGAAGACAGTTAGAGGAGCTACTCCCAGGAGGATAAGCTAAGGTGTTACTCAACTGGTGTAGGAGAGCACTGATTGGCCCTCTGTGCTAGCTAAGAATATACAGCTGTCATTGGCCGAAAAAACAGCACAGACAGATGTACTTTTTTGCTCTTTTACAATAAAAATTGCACATCAGGTAAAGAATGCTATAATGAAACCATTTGATAGGAAGTGGCGTCGTACTGTATGCTATTCTGCTGTATTGCAGAATGGATCCAAGGCTTTGGTTCTAAAACCCTGGTGAGTTCTGGCATGATGGGTTGATGAACCTGGGTCTGAAACGGGAGTTTTCTTTTGTGTTTACCATCCTTGCTGATTGATTCAACAAAGCAACAGCTGTTTGCAGGCTTCCTGAGCTTCATCAGCTTCCCAGAATGTCTGGCAGCTTTACGGTTCTCAGCAAAGCCAAGCGTTGGCCGCCTTTATTGCTTACTGAACGTAATCAGCTTTGCCCTTGTCAGCTAACATTTACAGTAATGATGTATAACTCTCTTCACCAGCTCCACTTAGTTCACTGGAACGCCAGGAAATATAGAACTTTTGGAGAGGCGGTGGAGGCTCCAGATGGCTTAGCAGTGGTCGGTGTTTTCTTAGAGGTAAGAGTCGCAGGAGTAGTCACTTCTGCTTAGAGAGGTGTTACATTTTCCACTGTTTAAGATCCCAAGGACAGGTTTAGGAAGTGGGACTTGTGGGGAAATAAGATGCCTAACAAGACTAAGCATATAAATAGCACTTGGTACATCATCACAGCAATCCTTGTAAGGTAGGCTGGTGATATACTACAGAGGGGACTGTCCTGACTTGGACAGCACAGGCTAGTCTGATCTCATCATATCTTGGAAGCTAAGCAGAGTCAGCCCTGGTAAGGATTTGGATGGGAGACCCCCAAAGAAGCCTGGGATTGCTCTGCAGAAGCAGGCAATGGCAAACCACTTCTGTTCGTCTCTTGCCTTGAAGACTCTACTGGATGGCCTGTCTAAGACCACCTAGTGAATTGGCACCAAAACTGGCTGAGATGAGATTTGAACCAGCATCCTTTTGGATCCTAGCACTGGCTCTTGGCACCTCTACTACACAAGCCAGCAATGTCATCAAAATATTCAAGTAAACTGTAGCTGTGTACTTTTACTGTTCATCTGGGTGCACAAGCTGACCAGCTATCTGCTGTGACTGTCATGGTTACAAGAATCTACTTTCTTAATACATCTCTTTTGTCATTTTAAATTTTTAGATTGGAAAAGAACATCCTGGTATGAGCAGATTAACAGATGCCTTGTACATGGTCAAATATAAAGTAAGTCTTAAATCAAAACCTAAAAGTAAGCTTTGTGTGATTTGGCATTCTTCATTCAGACACCGCTAGTACAGTGGCTAGCCCCTTTTATAGTGTCTAAAGCAACAAAACAAGGCCACCTTTAAACAAGCTAGGGTGCTCTACAGGGGCAGAACTTCCCCAGCGTGCAAAAAAAAAAAAGTAACCAGAGGAAAGGGGGAGGTGGCAAAAGCAGTCTGGTATGTTCCAAGAGGCATGGATCGTATAGTGCGGTTGAATCAGTTGTGAGGCAAATGAGAGAGCAGACGTTAGCTTGCTGGTGTTCCTGTGAGTTTATAGAATCCTGAAGGAAGAGATTTGTGGGGTGGGATTTCCAAATTGTCCTCCCCACGCAAACACACTTCTTCACAGGCCTCCAGTTTGGCTGCGGTTACACGAGCCAGTTGGAGCGGAGGGGAAGCGAGGCTGTCTCCTCTGGAGGAAATTGACACACAGTTGCGTGATCACACATCCCTTTGTAGCTGCAGGCACAGCCCGTCACTGTGTGATCAGATGCAACTGCAGGTGAGTTGTTTGTGGGGTTTTGGCCGTTTCCCTTGCACATAAATGAGGAATCGCACCTCAGCATTGAGGGTCCCCTATGGAGTATGCGATGATGCACGTGCTGTGAGGGAGGGAGGAGAGAATGGAACCAAGCCGGAATGGCCTGATCAGACCACCCTGACGGCACGAGAGCATGCTTGCACGATCAGTCGGGGAGAGTCTGTCCATGGCCTGTCGGAACCCATTTACTACTGGACTTTCCCTGGTGTCTTTTAACTCCGCTTCTGTAGTGGAGCAGCACAGCTTGCCGATGACTGCGGGAAGCTTCCCAGATGTTGCTGTCTGATCACACCCTTTAGATCCGTCAGGCATCTGCACCTATGTCGGATCTAAAGGCGCATGAGATCGCAGCCTTTGTCAAGGATCTACTTTTGCATCTCAAAGTCAACGGCTGGACAGTTCTCTTAGGATTCAGATGTATCGTTATTATTTAGGCAGCGGCAGCACTGCAAATAGTCCTTTTTGAAAGCAATACATTCACCTTCCATAACCTTAACTCCGTCCCCTTTGGATTGGGTTTCTTCCGTTCCCCTTTGGACCTGTTCCCTTTGTTCGAGCCACATGCAAAGCCGATGCATGCCCTCAACTCAGGTGGGTGGGGGGTTCCCACAAAGAGGCCGAACCCACACTTGAGTTCAGACCACATCTGACTGCTAGGGGAGCATGGAGGCTCACAAGAATGCTTCATCACACAAAAGAGGGGGGAAAGATCCTCCACACAGAATACTAGCTGAGGAGATGGGCTGAAACTGAACATATTCTGAAATAAAGTCTGTTTTTCTCCAAAATCGCCTGTCAACACAAATCTGTTTCCCCTATGTACTTTGGCAGTGAACTTGTCAGTTTCAGTCTGGCTGTGGGCTTCTCAATTTCAGTCTGAAATTCGGATCAGCTGTTCTGGTTTGGACTGCTTTGATACAGCTTCATAGTGCTGCGCAAGAACAATCCTTGTGCGGCCTCCAGGAAGTTTTAAATGTGCAGTTTGCACTCTTGGTTTCTGCCCATTAACCCCCACCACCACCCCAGTCCTAATCCTTGTCCATCTTTTCTTTAGGGAACAAAGGCTCAGTTTACGTGCTTCAGCCCAAGAAGTCTCCTGCCCTCTTGTCTAGATTACTGGACATATCCTGGATCCTTGACAACACCTCCCCTTAGTGAGAGTGTGACTTGGATAGTCCTGAAGGACGCCATTAGGATATCTGAAAAACAGGTAAACCTGGAGACTTGTATCTCTTTGTTGTTTGCAATAGGATCCATGATACCTGCTCTTAAAAACCTGCATTAAAACATGCTATGTTATTGTATTTGTTATAGCAACAATGCAATGTCCCGGAAAAGCAAAAAACAGTACTTAGAGTGGCAGTAATGTTGTAGTTGCTACAGTGTCACGCTAGGATTTGGGAGAGCCAGGTTTGAACCCTCACTCTGCAATGGAAGGTCATGGGTGACCTTAGGCCAGTCACAGATTCTCAGCTTAACCTGCTTTATAGGCAGTAGACAAGAGTAGTCAATGCTCCCTCTAAGCTGTGGAATCTTATGAGCAAAAATTCTACTTTGTGAGCTACTGGCATTAAAGTTGTGAGCGAGCGATTTGGCAGCTGCATAAATTTGTTTGTTCTGGAGCCCTCCTTCCTGAGCTAAGACAAAAATGTGTGAGCCAGAGGCTAAAAAACTGTGAGCTAGCTCACACTAACTCAGCTTAGAGGGAACATAAGAGTCCAGGAGCACCTTAAAGACAAACAAAATAGGATTGTTGAGAGGATAAAATGGACCATTTACCTGTATCATTTCTGTAAAGAAGCCCTAAGGAACCCTTTGTCTGTTGTGAATGCAACTAGTCATTTTAACACCCCACTTACCCCTCCCATAGACCTTAACTTAAAGGTCTCCTTTTCCTTTTTTAAAGAACCATATTTGGTTCCATACTAAGCCACATTATGGCTCAAGACCCAAAGTTCGTAGATCCTTGTGTGTAGAGTCTACAAACCGAAAACAAAGAAACTAATGTTTAACGTAAAATTATACCATCATCCCAAGCTTAGTTGCGCACTTCTCAGTCCACTGAAGTCGAAGGACTTTGGGAGGCATAACTCTGCTCAGGATAGGATGGCTGCTCTGCTAAAACAGGAGTGTTTCTCAGCCTGAGGGTTGCAAAGCCTCTGAAAGTAAGTTGCAGGTCAGCCCTCGTTAATGGCCGCTTCTGCCCTTTCCATTGCTCTTTTTTATATTTTGGAAACCAAGCTCTGACCCTGCAAAACCGGATCCTCCATACATTCATTGGTATTTTTTTCTTCACTGAATATACACATCGATCAAGTAAAACGTGTCCTGATGGCTACTGGAGTGAGTAGAATCTTAGGGGGGAATTAAAGGGAGTAATGGAGAAGGAGAGGATGGTCAGAAGGCTGGAATGTAAACTCTGTATGCAAAGGCTGTGTATGTCGTGATGCCGCTCGCTTCGGGTTCATGGTTAGGGTTGCCAGCTGCAGGTTGGGAAATACCTGCAGATTTTGGGGGGGTGGAGCCTGAGGAGGGTGGGGCTTGGGGAGGGGAAGGACTTCAGTGAGGGATGATGTCATCGAGTCCACCTTCCAAAGCAGCCACTTTCTCCAGGTGAACTAATCTCTGTCGCCTGGAGATCAGTTGTAATAGCAGGAGGTCTCCAGACATCCCCAGGAGAAGAAGAAGAGAAGAGATTGGATTTATACCCCGCCCTTCACTTGGAGTCTCAGAGCGGCTTACAAACTCCTTCCCCTTCCCCTCCCCACAAAAGACACCCTGTGAGGTGGGTGGGGCTGAGAGAACTCTGACACAAACTGCTCTTTTTCAAGGACAGCTGTGCCAGAGCTTGCAACTGACCCAAGGTCACATCAGCAGGTGCAAGTGGGGGAGTGGGGAATCAAACCTGGTTCTCCCATATTAGAGTCCGCGCACTTAACCACTACACCAAACTGGCTCTCAGGCTGGCAACAATATTCATAGTGGAGTCAGCTGCGCCCTTTCCATGATGTTTGTTGATTTCTCAAAAACATCGAGTTGACCACTGTAGAAGAAGAAGAAGAGATTGAATTTATATCCCGCCCTTCACTCGGAGTCTCAGAGCGGCTTGCAAACTCCTTTCCCTTCCCCTCCCCACAACAGACACCCTGTGGGGCTGAGAGAACTCTCTCAAGAACTGTCCTTGAGAGAACAGCTCTTGAGAGAACTATGCATTGCCCAAGGTCATCCAGAAGCTGCGAGTGGAGGAGTGAGGAATCAAACCCAGTTCTCCCAGATTAGAGTCCATACACTTAACCACTACACCAAACTGGCTCTCAGATAATGTAGATAATGAAATGTTGAAGTAGATGAGTGCCAAGGTCATAGTATGCGTTAGGGTGTCAAAAAAATACTTTGGGCCAGCCCTGGATGGGTCACCACACCAAGTATATTTGGACTTGTGGGTCACCATACCAAGAAGGTTGGGAACTGCTGTGCTAAAATTCCTTGGAGCCCATTTGCTCATTGTAAATAAGTGGCGGATATTATGATGAAAGTTATCTGTGTCTTTCCTATTAGCTATTGTTTGTGGCCTGTGATGATCTTCCTAAGCAATAATGCTGTCGTGCCTGACTTTACAGATGGGAAAATTCCGAACACTCCTCTTTACCACTGAGGATGATGAAAGGATCCACATGGTGAATAACTTTCGTCCCCCGCAGCCTCTTAAGGGAAGAGTCGTACGTGCGTCTTTCAAGGTTTAAAGCATCACGAATGAACTTCAAACAATCCAAAGTGCTTCAGTATCTGCAAGGACTGGATAATTGGGCTTCAGAGTAGATCTCCAGATCAAAGGGGCCACAGGGCATTAAAAACATTTGATACAAGCGCCGATTAAATGAGGATACCAGTTACAGAGCTTATGGTAGAGACAGTGCTCATGCTTCCCCATGCTTCCTCAACAAGGCAGAGCAGGAAATTGGGAGTCATTTGTCTTCCAGAGAACCTCAGCTTTCATTTCTTACAGGAAAGTTTCTAGCCCTCATGGTGGCAGAAGGAAGCTTTAAAAAAAGATAGGTACTGTTGAGGTCTCAGAAACCAAAAGCTGCCTTCAGTGGGGTCTCTTAGAAGCCACAAGAGGGTTCCAATGCTCCCTCTAAGCTATGGAGTCTTGTGAACAAAAATTCTACTTTGTGAGCTACTGGCATTAAAGCAATGAGTGAGTGATTTGGCTACTGCATAAATCAGTTTGCTCTGGAGCCATCCTTCCTGAGCTAAGACAAAAATGTGTCAGCCAGAGGCTAAAAAACTGAGAGCTAGCTCACACTAACTCAGCTTAGAGGGAACACTTGGGTCCCTAAACAGCTCCTTGCAGCGACCACCTCAGCCAGTGCTTTCCATCCTTCCATCCTCTTGACAGAAGAACTTATTCAGTGAACCCTGGGAGTAAACAAATATGGGTACCAGAACAAATGGTGCAAATCACACATGCCAAATTGTGCGGCTGACAAGATTCTTTATACCTAACTCCATGTGTAATTACTTGGAAATCATGTGCCACCCTGTTCAGTGGGGCATATTCGTAAATAAGCGGGCTTATGGTTTGCAGTGCAGACCCAAACCCAGTTACGTCCTTCTAAGTTCATTGACTTCAGTGGATTTAGAAGGGTGTAACTCGGCTTCAGATTGCACTGTTGGATAACTAGATGTTTCCGACAGTAGTAGTTCTACTGGTCTCATAGTATAGGTACTGGCAGATTCAGGCATGGGAAGGGGAAAGTGACCCACATACTGTTGCAAAGGGAGAACATAAGAAGAGCCATGCTGGATCAGACCAAAGGCCCATCTAGTCCAGCCTTCTGTTCACGCAGTGGCCAACCAGCTGTCTCTAGAAAGCCCACCAGCAGGATGACTGCAAGAGCATCCTCCCGCCTGTTATCCCCAGCAACTGATATAATGAGTCATACTGCTTCTGGTACTGGAGGGATTAGATATCCATCATTACTAGTAGCCACTGATAGCCCTGTCCTGCATGGATTTGTCCACTCCCTTTTCAACTTGGCAGCCATCGTCGCCATAGTCTGTGGCAGTAAGTTCCACAGTTTAGCTATGTGCTGTGTGAAGAGGAACGTCCTTTTATGTCTTGAATTTCACATCCATCAGCTTCAGTGGAGGACCGGGGTGGCTCTAGTATTAACAGCCACCAGGGAGCCATTTATACTGGCGTAAACCTGGGCGACACTGTTGCAAAACCACTAAGAAATGCAATAAACGGCCATCCGGCATAGAGACTAATGAAAAGTGGAGAGTAACTTGGGAATCAAAAGCCCTGCAGTTTCTCCAATTAAAATGAATGAGTCGGTGAAAGTAATCTTTAAAATGAATGAGTCGGTGAAAGTAATCTTTTCATAGTCCTCTGTGTTTAATAGCTGTACATTGTCCACAGCTGTAGCTATAAAAGGAAAGAATGTTTTGCTTGACCAAGTCATAGCATGGCTCGTTGCGCCTAGCTGGGCTGCATTGTCCTTGGAACCACATATCCTTGTTTAAATTGACAGTCTTAAAAATTGCTTCTTGGTAATTGAAACTTATTGTATAATTGACTTTTAATCTTTTTTTGTGGGGGAGAATCCTAGACCCTGTATCTGCACTAGCCGAGGTTCCTCTGAATCTAGAGTATGGATGCAGTAATACCATTCCCTTCTTGCCTCGTTTTTCCGCAGAAGGAATGAGAAATGGCATTGGAGCAATATTGTCCCTCTTTTTTTGTACTTCGTCTGGGGGATGGAGAAGGGGTGTGCAAGTTAACGCAATTTGGCAATTCTGATACAACCTCATTCTAGACTTACTGGGCCTAGCTTTTGCCTCACCCTGAGAACGTCTCCTGGAATGTAGCTGGCAGTTCTGTATAGCAGATAGGAACCATAATGGTGAATGGCATGCAAGGGGTCCCAGGTTTGGTCCCTGGCATCTCCTGGTAAAAAGAACAGGTTGTAGGTGATGTGAAAGAGCTCTACCTGAGATCCTGGAGAGTCACTGCCAGTCTGAGGAGACTTTGATGGACCAATGGTCTGATGCAACATAAGGTAGTTTCCTGTGTTCATTTGAACTCCATTACCAATAAACTCATTGGGGAATCTACTGGAGAATCCCACATTTCCTAACAACACAGTTTCAAAACCACTTCTCTGTCTCATAATTTCTAATGGTTAGAGTTTCAGACTAGGATCTGGGAGACCCAGGTTTAAATCCCCATTCTGCCATGGAAGCTGGCTGGGTGACTTGGGGCCAGTCACACAGACTTAGCCTAACCTACCTCACAGGGGTGTTGGGAGGGTAAAATGGAGGAGTGAGTGAGGTAAACCACTTTGGGTCCACATTTGGGGAAAAGGTGGGGTAGAAATTATAATTATGAATGAATACAATAATTATAATTAATGAAATAATAAATGAATAAAATAATTATAAATTACAAGGGAATAAAATCATAAATCTGTTTATATATGTAAAATATGTGTGTCTTGCCTTTGCTCCTTAGACTCAAGGCGGTTAACAGTGCAACAATGAACTGGAAGGACACAAAAACATTAGTTGGTTAACAAGACCAAAACAAAGATGCAAGACAAAACAAAAACATGAAAACCAATACAAATTAAAAACACAGAGAGATATTTTAAAAAAACTGCACAGCTTAAACACAAACACTGACAGTAAAACACTCTTGTGTTTCCCTTTCAGCTTCCTTCTGTTTGCCTCATTTTTGTAAAGCTCCCTCTGTAGAAATCAAATGTTACAGTTTTGGACTTTAGGGATAACTTTCCATTGAGCTGCGGTGGCTCAAGTGGTTAAGAGGCTGAACTGCAGGCTGTGGAAGGTCAGTAGTTCAGCAGTTCGAGACCCAAGTGTGCCGCATGACGGAGTGAGCTTCCGTCTCTAGTTCCAGCTCCTGTCAACCTAGCAGTTCGAAAGCAAGAAATTGCAAGTAGATAAATAGGGACCACTTCGGTGGGAAGGTAACAGCGTTCCGTGCGCCTTGGTGTTTAGTCATGCCGGCCACATGACCATGGAAACGTCTTCGGACAGCGCTGGCTCTTCGGCTTTGAAACAGAGATGAGCACCGCAACCCTAGAGTCAGACTCGACTGGCTTTCGAGCAAGGGAACTTTTACCTTTACCTTTACTTCCATTAATATGAATGCTTAACTTAATAGCACTGTCGTCACTGTTCCCAATTGGTGCAACAACCTTTATGTCTCTCACCAGGACCTGAGACAGAACCAAGTCCAAGATATTGCCCTTTGGCCCTGCAGGGCAACTGGATCGCCCCTATGTGAAACAGGATGCAGGATTGGCTGGACTGCTGGTGTTATTCAGCAGGGCTTTTCTGGCGCCTGTGTGTTATGACCCATTCAAAAACAACAACAGCATTTCAATACTCCATGGAAACGAGTGCTACTTAAAAACAATTAGTCTGCACATGCCACCTAGTGGCCTCGATTCACTTGGTTATTTATTGGCTTTGCTTCTGTCCCCTACTCGAGAAGCAGTCTTGCTGCCTGGAAAGATCTGGCCTTGGAAACAATCAGAATGTAAGTAATTTCAAATGGCTTTTTTTGCTTTATTGTGATCTAACTGGCAACAACACAATCACGGCTATAACCATTTCAGGTGGCTTGCTGTGTTGGTCTGTGGTAGTAGAGGAAGATTCGAGTCCAGTAGCACTTTAAAGACAAAGGGAGTTTGTCTGATATACCCTGGATATCTTGTTGGTCTTTAAAGTGCTGCTGGTGGTGGTGGAAAGTGCCATTAAGTTGCAGTCAACTTACGGCAACCCTATAGGGCTTTTCAAGGCAAGAGACATTCAGAGTTGGTTTGCCATTGCCTGCCTCTGCATAGCAACCCTGGGCTTCCTTGGTGGTCTTCCATCCAAGTACTAACCAGGGCTGACCCGGCTTAGCTTCTGAAATATGACAAGATTGAGCTAGCATGCACCATCAGATCAGAGCCTTTAACGTGCTATTGGATTTGAATTCGGGTGTAACGGTAGTCTTGTAACTCTTGAGATTTTTTTTTTTAATTGATTTGGGATATTTCCATCTTGGAACCCCAGAGAGACAACCAGTAGTTTCAAAGAGGTGCTAGGCATGATCTCTCTGTAGCGCCGACATCATGTGAGAGCCATGCTAGGTGTGAGTGATCTGTAGACGGGTGCAAATGACAAAGTACAGCAAGGAGACTTTTGCAGTGACACAAAGGTTGAGGAGACAGGCAAGGGAATGTGGCAAGACAAGCCACGCCACGGTGGTTGGTTGCATGATAAGGCCAGGAGATAAGTCCCCTATCGCACAGCTCTGGTGAGAGTTTTCAGCAACACCCATATTTTACTTCTGAAGGCATTCAAGGTCATCCTGGAGAGGAATCAAAGTTATTTCAACCAGCCTTCACTTCCAAACTGATCTCACGTTGTTAACATTTCCTATAAATCTTGAGCTGTAATTCCAAACATACTTCCTTGGAAGCAAGTGCTGTCAAAATCAATGGGACTTTTCTTTTTGGTAAATAACTTTTAATTTAAGAATAAAGGCACTGCACTGCAGGATCATTAGGTACTGTGGTTTGCCTAAACGTTTCCCCCCATATCTTCACAACAAAGAGGACTAGAGACTTACTTTAAAAAAAATGAAAGTTGGGGAGCCAGAGGAACTAATAAATCATAGCTTGGATCCAGAGGTAGATTTTTGCTCAGTCCTTCCATTCTTTGCAGA